GACGGCCCGCGCCCGCCTTTCGACGGAGCTCGTCCATTCGACCCGCCCTTCGAAGGGGACAGACCACCGTTCGATGGACCGCCGCGTTTCGATGGTCCCCCGGAGTTCTTCGACCGTCCCCGAGGACGCTTCGATGATCGCGACCAGTACGGCGACCGAGGATGGAGCGGAGACAGAGACCGCGACCGAGACTGGGGCGACAGACGACCTGACTGGGACGACAGGCGCAGAGATAGGAGGCCACCTAGGGATCACGAGGACAGATATAATAGGCCAGATAGAGGAGACAGGAGGAGAAACTTTGACGACCAAGGTAGGCCTACTGACCAGCGTCGCGGTGATGACAACCAGAACAGAAGTAACGACTCGCGTCGTCCTGATGAAACTCAACTAAACAAGCCTGCCGATGCACGCCGTGGTGATGACAGACGTGAGGATAGCCAGAGTAAATCCAGGCCATCGCGGGATGAACGAAGTGATAAAAATGATAGGAATAGTTCTAGACGAGACAGAGATAGGAAGTCTAGATGGGGCGCGGCCGAGGAAGCAGAAACTACAGGCAACGGGGAAAGTGAGAAGCCGCAGGAAACTGAGGCAACCATTACACAGGCTGCCGGCGACATCGCCGCCAGTGCCGAGCCCAGCGAGGCCACCGACACTACTAGTCAAGATGAACAAACTGTACAAACTGAGGTCAGCGACAGCATTCCTTCACACGAAACTGAGTCTGAGAAAGGCTTCCAGCCTCCTGAAGACAGCATGGATAGCAACGAAACTCCCGGCCTAACAGAGCGCTCTGTGGAACCCAGTCCTGGCGGGCTGGACGACAAGATGGAGCGTTCGCCCCCGGAGCCCTCGCCTATAGAACACTCGCTCCCAGAGCCTTCCCCGCAAGAGCACTCGCTCCCAGAGCCCTCGCCCCCCGAGCACTCGTTCCCAGAGCCCTCGCCCCAAGAGCACTCGTTCCCAGAGCCCTCGCCCCAAGAGCACTCCCTCCCAGAGCGCTCGCCCCCGGAGAGTTCCATTCCGGAGCGCTCTCCCCCAGAACCCTCGCCTCCGCCGGCGGAGGAGCGAGCGCAGGAACAGTCTGCTAACACTTTGTACGACGCAGATGATACTATCGACACCAACTTCTCAGCTCCGGCGGCCACAGATTACGAGCGAGAACCATCGCCACCTCCTGTCGCTGAAAGAGATTTTGAAGAATCTAGCATGGAGGCCTCGAAACCTGTCGATATGTTTAGTCCTGAATTGGAACAAAGTGAGAGTTCACAGGAAGCCGAAGTATCGGAGCCACAGAGTGCCGAGAGTAAAGAAGGAGCCGCTTGACAGCGCCGACGATGGAAGCTGAACGTGGGATATTTCCAGTGGAAATGATTCGGGTGACGCCGCGGGCCCCGGGCGACCGCCGCTACCTGCCGCAGCGTAGCTATCGCTCTGCCGACCGCCGAAACCGTTATAACGCCAAAGATATTTTTTTATACTCGAAACAAAAAAGTTGAAATATATGAGTGCCTTATTGGTTACCAAAAGTGGTGTTTTGTTTTGATCGACGGCACGCGAGGCGTAGAAGAGGAACGCGCCTGGGCACTCAAGTCGAGTGACCCGGGCCAGGTACGGTTGCTAATGATACACATTGTACGCGCGTCTAGAACAATTGCACGCTATTGCACACACTACTGCGACGTTGCAACATGTCCGCGACTTGTCCTTTATAATACTCTCTCTTTCTGGACTTACTTCCAACATAACTGTTATGTTCACTTAAATTACCGATCTACATGTTGCAACAGTAATAAGTTGAGAGACATGCACAATTGTACTCGGCGGGCGTCTTTATTTTATTATTGCATAATGTCGAAATGGGATCGAAAGTTATAGTACATTAATCTAGTGTAAAGTAATGAAGTAGTTAAATCGTTTTAATTTATCTAATACGAATGATTACCATTTCGACATATTATATCGCTAGCAATGTGTGCAAAATACCTGTGCGGCGGCCGCGTCACCCGAATCAGCCACGGATATACTGGAACCGAAGCGGCACTACAAGAACGGAAGATGCTACTGTCTGAACTATTGGACTCATGTGTTTAGATATTGTGTTACGTCGACCTGACGACTGTTTGTTAAGTTCTTTTTTATTTTTACGTTACTAACTTCGATTACTCGAATTGTATGTGTATAATTACTTTTTTTATTAGCAAGATACGTTGCTATCTAATATTACTCAACATTTCCACCAAACTTGTTAGTACTATTTCGCACCTTTAAAACCATTTAGGTTTTAAAACAATTCTCTTTGTCTTAGGTAATTTGGTGGCGGTAGGGAACGGATTTTAAAGTAACGACTATTTAAATCTATTTTATAGATATAAACATAAATGTTTTATAAATTTATATAGGCACTATATCTGTAGTTAAATTGTTTATGGATTTAGGTTTTACTGTAGGCTGGCAATAAGTATATCTACTTTGGAGAATACAGCGCAATAACTGTGCTATGTTACGCTTCGTAGCATCGATGTTTATATGTAACATATTTTTATAAAATTATAATGTGAGTCTTATTATATCATTGAGATTTACCTACTCCATTCATTTTAAACTCTTCAATGTTAGGTAATGTTTTAGCTGTGTAGATAAACATTATATTTTCAATGCATGCTTCAATGTTTGTCATATTTGCTTGAATAAAAATTTTGAAAATTCATTGGAGCAATGTTTGATTAGATACCGGAACACGTTAGTATTCTAGTGCAGCATGTCGCCGTGGGTCCCTCTGTCGACGTGCGGGCTCCCTTTTGCACACATTGACTAGTTTGTGCGTTTTTTTGTTCACGTTTCAGCTACAGCTTAAACGAGCCTTCAGCATAACAAATTCAGCCGACTGGACTACCTACTCGACGTGTCTGCAATTATTATAAAGAAATCCTATCCAGATTAATATACTAATCTTCATTCTTATTTTATTGACCCTTCCTTGAAACTAATTTACCATTATCTATATCTGATTTCCTAAACATGAAAGGGTGAAGCTACTCTATCTAGTTTTAGACGGTTAGTCTAGAAAAAACTTAGAGGATTAAGTGTGACTGCCTACTCTTTAGTGGTGGTCGCAAGTGTAACTTTTGAATTTAATATACCAGTATTCATATCCTCATTACTTCTGTGTGGTTGTAGGAAAAAAATATTGGAGAATAATAAGGTAATAAAGAATATAGCACTCGTGTACATACTACATACAAAATAAGCGCGAAAAACAATGCCTTTCCCTCAGTCGGGTAAAAATAGGGTTCATATTACGACACTGAACTTTATTAGAATCATTTCTGTAGTCGTTGGGGTAGGGAGCAAAAACCACAGAGTTGTCTACTCGTCTACTCAAAGAGCATAATAAGTATAGGGGTGTCGTCTACTTAAGAAGTGCCTAGTCATATAACTATTTTTCAGCGATATTGTGTTAGAAAATGGACTAAACCATCTACCAATCGTAATAAAGTCTATAGGTAGTCTGTGTGCCTTCAAGATGAGCGCTTATGTGACGTAGGCTAATTCATCATTCCATCCAGTCATTGTATATCGTAATAAATGAGACGTGAACAGTGAACGCCCCAGTGGTGTGATTTTTTCCGTACCTACCTTCTATCTAATAAACAAATAGTTGATAGGTGCGCACTAGCGGCATCTAGTGAATAGTGGTTCCAACCCCCTTTGAAAATTACTACAAGAAAACTGCAGAAAAGGTTCTTTAATTACTACAAATATTCAGCAAAATTTTCCATATTTCTTAACAGTGACATAGATGTTGGTGACAAAATTGAAATTATAATCAATCTTGAGGAGTTCCTAGTTGGAGAAAAAAGTTTAAATAACACCATAGTTCGAGTTCATTATTTTGGAAATAAAAGAAAGACATGATGGCTGGTGTTGAAATAAGTGAATTTATTTCTGCAAATAGCACTGATATGATAAGAGTATTTATAAATCTATGGCAAATAGGCTACAAGGCAGCACTTTTACACGTATGTTGTGTTAGATTCTAACGGCCAGAATAACAGGTTGATAAAAGTAAAAAATAAGTAGCTTTTGACAGTACAAATGGTACAGTACAGTGTTCGATTCCCGCACAAAACAAATTTTCGAGTGATCCGCAAATAATTTATTTTTCCAAATCTGGCTGAAAGCAAAGTGCATGAATCGTGAAAAACCGTAAAAAGGAACGGTGAAACCTTCAAAAAAGTAACAAGTAGGGACACGGTATCGAAGCAAAAGTATCGATAGTAGAATCGATAAAAAAGTATCGATACTTCAAGGTATCAAGTACTTTTTTCGGATCAAAATGTAGAGCAAAGGTCAATAAATAATTCTCAGTTTTACTTCAGTTCGGCGGGAAATAGAAAACAAATGGTATCGGGGCACAAATTTAGTAAACTAATAGAAAAAAAAAATGGAATGACATACCTATACAAACACATCGATAATGTGCACTGATATGATGTGTAATAGTACCTAGTAGTTGCATTCCACCTCCATACAGTCACTTAAAAATACAGGAAAAGCAAATTGTAGTGAAGTTTGATAAGCCAAAAATCTGAAACCGCTATCTTTGTGATGGTACTTCCTGCTTTAGAAATAAATCGTTCAGATGTACTGACGTCATAGAATTGGATATACATTGTCGTGTCAAATTATATAATTTTGGCTATATTACTTAGGGAATTGAACTGTGAACAACCCCACGGTAAGAATAAGTTCAATCGATCGAATTAAAAAGTTTTCAACAAGTGAGCTAGATGAATTTTTCATTCGATACGATGCCTGGGAAAACGTACTAATGAGTAAAAGTATCGAGTACAAAAGTACCGGTATCGAATGAGATTGTACTCGATACCACAAATCATGATAATTTTTTCGTGTGTATGAGATGAGACCTTGCGTCACAAGCAGAAACGTTTCGTATCCGGAAAATATAAAAATGTCTATTTAGGCATTATGATTACAGTCTATCTCGATTTCCTTGTGTAAAAGAAAGAGACAAATTATTGTGATGTTTAAAATATGAATTTGAACCTCAGGGCTCAGTTTCTAACAACTGACAAGTGACAGAGATTCTTATTGACAGTTTGTTTGTATGAATGTGAATCAGAAATTCCTTTGTCAATCGGTTTAAAATTTCTCATAAATTATGGCAGATATTCAAGTAATTACTCAGGATTTTGTGAACGTGCACATCACGAAGTCTGACAGCGAAGATGCTGCGCCCATCGAGCGGAGATTCAAAAAAGGAATTACTGTTCTTGAGTTTAAGGTTACGATACACAGATTTTTAATTTTCTTATTAGATAAACTATATTTTACAGACTCTGCAACTGTCTGATTGTATTATAAGTCTCTATGAATGAAATGATGATTTCGTAGTTATTACAGAAAATTTTGATCATAACACACCTAATACCGTAAAAATAAAAAAAATGTGTTTCTAAATACAAATGTAAACACAAGTTCAGTGTAAATAATCTTTAGCTCATCGAATGTAATAATACGTTAATTTCACTTACTACAATATAAAATTAATTTCGCTCATAGACAAAATTGGAGCTGGTCACCGGTGGATCTGCAGCTACTATGAAACTGAAGCTGTATGATAAGAAGAACGCGTACATCTGCGACATAGACAATGATGAAGCCCTGCTTGGTTCCTTCCCCATAGATGATGGCATGCGGATACATGTGGTTGATAAGTTTGCTCTTGTCCATGATTTTGCATCATCTGATAGTGCTGAGAGGTAAAAGCTAATAAGTATAATATTAATATATTACTTGAAACTCTTGCCAAGCAATTATTATAAGAAATTTTATAAATATAGTCTCTCCGTGTTCATTCATTTTTTTATTCATCAACTGTTTAAATGCTATGAATTTTATGATCACAAAATTAAATATTTTTTAATTCCCACAATGTAACTGTTTTGTGTTTATAGTAGTAATTAACGGTACCAAATTCAATAATCATCTCCGAAATAAGTACCAAACAACATTTATATTTATTTTAGATTTCGTTTATCTGAAGAAGAGTATGAAAAGAAAGGCGATACTCTTCGCTCATTCTTACAGCGAAACAAACTCGGCAAGTACAATGAGGAGGAGATGACCAAGCTCAAGGAGCAGCAGCAGAAGGAACTTGAGGATGAGGCTAAGTAAGGCTGATAATAATCATCATTTCAACATAACATTATATCACGCCTTTTATCTCTGAAGGGGTAGGCAGAGGTGCACATTATGCTACTGTACAATGTAACACCCACTTTTCACAGTTTACATTTCGTAAAAAGTATTTGTTTCCGTAAGAAAATAAAAAATACGTGTCTAATGTTTTTAAATAGTCTACTAGACGGACATTAAAATAACAATTAATCATCTACCCAATACTGATGACTAATATAAATACTAACTAAAAAGGCCTAAGCCTGCCTAATAAGGCAGTTAGGTACATACAAAGGTTGTTTCAACCATGGTATACATCCATAGGCTATATTAAAATATTAACAAGATTCCGAGTAAATATTAACAAGATTCCGAGTAGCATTAAGGAGCAACCATTGAGAATCTTTAAAAAACAACTTGCATCTTTGTTATTACAAAAGTGGTACTATTCTGTGTCAGATTTTTTATTCGATAACATATAGACTGATTTACTGTAAGTTGTTTAAGCTATATTTTGTGAATTTGTAAATTTTCAAATATTGTTAGGATTATGTTATCCATTAATAATTATAATAGTTTTATAGATAACTTACATAGTAGGTATCCACAATGTTCATAGATTTTAAGATTAAAAAAAAAATTTGCATGCCATATGGTAGAATGTACCAGGAATGATGTACCTTTGTAACACCTTATATTATGTACCTACATTCAATGCAAATAAATCATTCTATTCTATTCTATTCTAAAACAACTTTCATGAAACCATACTCTTTGAACACAGAATAGCTGAAGCAGTATTAGTAGGAGCTCGCTGCGAAGTCCGCGTGCCCCAGCAGCCAGTGCGTCGCGCCACCGTCAGGTACAACGGTCCCTTAGAGGGCGCTAAAGGACTATGGATCGGAGTGCAGTACGATGAGCCTCGTGGCAAGAATGATGGATCGTAAGTACTAATAAAACTATAAAAATACTTCATGATAAAGCACAATAGTCATTAATTCTTCAGAAGTCGATTTAACACAAGCTTTAAATAAAAAATCTCCAATCTCTGAATCCCCAACGATCCTCCAACTCCTAATCCCCAAAAAGCCGGTAACGCACTTGTTACGCCTCTGGTGTTCTGGTGTCTGACGGCGACGCCGATTGCTTATCATCAGGTGATCCGTCTGCTCGTTTACCGGCTTATGCCATAAAAAAACAAAAAAAAAAAGGATGTACTCTGAATATTGCTAGTACTTGAGAATCCTATTTGGCTTGTTTAGTTCTTAAATTTTTTTAACAAGTCAGCCAACACCGGCACGTCAAGTTATGCCAAATTCAAATAACTTCAATCGATATTTTACTTTATTGTAAGGCGATAAAGTTGAAAATCGACTCGAGTTACTTCCCTTAGCTACAGTTAGTAATACATTTAAAAATTTATATTTCTTTCCACAGAGTAAATGGCAAGCGTTACTTCACATGCCCCCCAAAGTACGGCGGCTTTGTGAAACCAGTCTATGTGACTGTGGGTGACTTCCCGGAGGAGGAGTTTGATCTGGATGATGAAATATGATCAAATACACAAAGTAAACCGCAATCATAAGGATACATACAATATTGTAGTTTGTGTAACAGCTAAAAGACTGGCACAATTATAAGGTGTAAGAGAATAAACGAAGATTCAGGTCATAATTTGTTTTAGAACCAATTAAATAAACATTTCAAATTAATATACGGGACTAACAAGTCTTTTTGTAGGAAAGAAGCGGGACGGTTTTACTAAGACCCCATGTACTTTAGTGTGTCAGGAGATTGTATCTTGTGAACAACATTCGACTTTGTTCGTTTTTATGGCTAAATGATAAGGAATCCTTCATACGCGAATTTGACTCAAATTTAGCCAATTATGTTACTTAACTTTTCAAATTTTTAAAAATAAATATCCTTCAGTTTCATTCCTTAAACGTTTATTCTGTTACATCTTACATAGATTAAAAATATTACTTACTATAAATATTACAAAAATAATATTGTATGACATCTCAGCTATTTTTGTATGAGCACTACTAAGCTTGCTGGCGGGCTACACAAGCTTTAAAATTATGATTTATAAAATCTAATAATTAATATTATAATTATGCTTTATTTACTACTTATCTATTGTATATTTGTTTCGTGTGAGAGAATCTTTTGTATTTTGAAGTTGATTGAAAAAATGGAATAAGTAAAGATTATGACGATGATAAAAAATGTATATGCATTTAAAGTGTAGGCAGTTATAGACAAACTTTATGGCTTTTCCTGGTCTAGGAGGTCTTAACTAGGCTATCATACAGAGATTGCGAGGCATATACGTACTATGTCATATCGAATGTCAATTGATCGACCACTTACGGCTATATTTCACCGGAACACCATTGCGGTGCAACCAGTCGTCGCGACCAACAAAATGTATAGCTCTATAGAGAGTTACTCACCTGGGCCTCCAAACGCCACTTTAGCGCTTGTCTACAGAGAGAGAGTAGAAATCAAAATGTATGGACATGACACTGACAAGTGTCAAAATTTACGTTAATTCCATATAATTTGTTTTTCTATTCTACATGTAGACAAACGCTAAATGGCATTTGGCTACAGCTGCTGGTGTCCGCTTGGTTGCGCAACCAGCTTATACATTGACTGGCGACTGGTGCCGCCCTCATGATGTCCCGGTGAAATATAGCCTATAAATATAGATCGAAAGCCATAATACTCGAACGTACGGGCGCCAAATTGCCAGCGCAATAAAATCAATGCGGTTTTTGTATTTGTTATAAGATACAAAAGGCGCCTCGTTATTGTACCCGGGCCAACATGCGCTAGACATTCCTGACTCCATCTTTATTGTGAGTATTCGTGTTTAGATCATATAGCCATAAAGTTTGACTAAAATTTTTATAAATACCGATCTCATGAGAGTGCCTCGTCTGTTTTAAATATTTTTGAATGCTTTTGAATGAATTTCTCTCTAATAATGTTATCAGTAATATAATAATAACTAGTATTCTTAGATATTGTTTCTAGTAAATGTATAGGAAAGTTCTAAGAATATTAGTTATTTTTTGATGTCTAGAGTTCAGTTTTTGTAGACATTCCATTGAGAATGAGACTTGGTTTAGTAATACGCAATCATGTGGCGATGCATACATAAAAAATTAATATCTGCTTTGTAACATTTTAGGTTGTAACACTCAATTTAATTATGTTGTATCATATTTTTTTAACAAATAAAATGTAACAAAAGTTATTCTTTGTTTTATTATTTTCTTTTCAAACCTTTTAGTGTTATATATTAAGTGCAGTGGCCAACATGTCAGCATACACGAATCTGCCAGACTTTTCAATTGGATTTTCGACTTTATAAATATTAAACACCGGCTGGACACTGGCAATGAGTTGAGATGTAGCGTCATTGTGCATTTTCTATCGCTTATACCACGGGGAGTGCTCTGAGGAATTGTTTGACCTGATACCTGCCGCATCTTTTCGCCATCGACCCTCATCTGCTCGTTTGCTTGCCTCGTTTAAATTTTTTTAGTCTATTTTATTTAAGGAACTTTTAACCTATAGGTTATGTCAGCCCCATCGTAACTCAAACTTATCTATGTGAAACAAATAAGTTAACATCATTACAATAGATCGTGCTGCCTGACAAAATACTAAAAAAGGATCCCAAATCATAATTTTATATTTTAAAATGTTGCAACTGAAGCAATGCAGTCCCTCGAACCCCCCTATACTTATTATACTCTTTGCTCGCCACCTTAAATTTCACTCACTCCACCGGCATATAAACATCATCTAACTGGACACATACCTCGCAGTTAGGTGAATTTACTTTTTTCGCAAGTAATGCGAAACTTTTTGTGGGATAATATGTAATAATGAAGTTAAAAATCTAATAAAGAAAGATTGAGAGGTGTAGGTTACTCTGCTGGCCTCTGTACTTTTTTATTGTTGAAAATTACCTAGCTATCTACCTACCTACAGGCAAACTTTCTAGCGAACAGCGCAACAAATCAATAAAACCAAGGTTTTGTCAAAAAATCGCATTTATTAATTACTATCACTATACAACCTATTTAGAACTTCCTTCTCTTCAATATCTCTGGTCTCCAATTGATGGGATGCGTTTCTTCAGACGCCGTATCGTCTTCACGGTATATCTTGATTGTCTTGTCAGCCTCCGTCGTGATGAGACGGGAGCCCGAGTTGTCGAATGTCATCGCGAAGATACCGGCCTCAGAGTCCATTGAGCCTGGTTGGACGGCCGCCTGGGGATTTAATAGAATATTTTAATGGTGTTTTTCGGTGTTATGTATCGTTGTGGTTACCGTTAAAAGTAACACTCAAGAATAAAAAAAAAACTAGAAATTTCAAATGTTGATTCCCAGGTTGGGCAAACATGTATTTTTTTATGGAACCATGGACCAGATGGATCACCTGATGGTAAGTAAACAAGTGCGTTACCGGCCTTTTGGGATTAGTTGTTGGGGATTCAGGGATTGGGGAGGGGGGAGGGGGGTAATTGGGCCTCCGGTATCTAATTGAGTATTTAAATTTTACGCAATTTGATAAGTTCTCAGTGATATCATTGTGTTTGGGATTATATCTAACAATATACCTATGAAACAGGAACTTACGTGGGAATAAAAGACAAATAATATTATAAGAATTTAACTCACCTGCAACCTCTGGAAATTATACCCGGTCCTCCAATCCCAGAAGTACATTGTACCGTTATCTCCACCACTGACTAAAACACCTTCAGGGTTGACAGCCATACAATTCACGATAGCATTATGCCCAGACAAGTTCTGAATGAACTTTCCTTCCGGACACTTCCATTGTTTGATGTTGTCCGGCGAAGCAGATGCGAACGTGTATAGTGTTGGGTGTACGACGATGGAACGGACTGACTTCTTGTGGTTAGTTAGTGTACACATCGACTTCCCAGCTGCTAAGTCCCAGAGACGAATTGTTGAGTCGTGGGAGCCGGTTATGATCTGAAAATAAGACATAGTTTAGAGATGTTTTTCGATTGACAATGTGAATCGAAGTAAAAATTAATTTAACATAACATCACGCTTTTTATCCCCGAAGGGGTAGGCACAGGTGCACATTATGCCACTGTACAAACTAACACCCACTTTTCACTATTTATGTTGAGTGTGAGCCTATTGCCATACACCGGGCACAATTCCAGACTCCGTGCTACTACTGAATTTTTTTTAAACCCACTAATACTTTGTCCTACCCGGGAATCGAACCCGAGACCCCTTGCCCGGTAGTCACACTTGCGACCACTCGGCCAACGAGGCAGTAAAAATTAATTTATGTAGGTATTGCAATTAGACCAAAAACAAACACATGAAAATTAAATAGTGAAAATAAAATAATAACATTTATGTCTGTCAGCATTTTATTAAAGCTGTTTATTTGGTGCCTAAGTGAAGATTCCAATGGATAAACATTTCGTCTTTACTTAGAAATAATTTTTCTCTTCACAAAACGGACCAACCTTTTATTTTGACCTTTTACTTTTTAGGCTTGAAACCATACACTATTAACAACGCACCAGATACCTCAAACTTAGTCCAGCCAGGTACCTCAAAACTAACAAACAAAACCACAAATCCGTATCTATCTAACTATCTTTATAAGTGTGGAAGAGCCATGCTTCGGCACGAATGGGCCGGCTCGACCGGAGTGATACCACGCCCTCACAGAAAGCCGACGTGAAGCAACGCTTGCGTTGTGTTTCGTCGTGTGAGTGAGGTTACCAAAGGCCTTCCCCAATCTCCCTAATTCCTGAATCCCCAACGATCCTCAAAAGGCCGATAACGCACTTGTAACGCCTCTGGTGTTCCGGGTGTCCATGGGCGACGTCGCTTGCTTACCATCAGGTGATCCGTCTGCTCGTATACCGGCTTATGCCATAAAATAACATACCTGCCTCGTTGGCCGTGTGGTCGCAAGTGCGACTGCCGGGCAAGGGGTCTCGGGTTCGATTCCCGGGTCGGGCAAAGTATTACTGGGTTTTTAAAAAATTCTCAGTAGTAGCACGGAGTCTGGAATTGTGCCCGGTATATGGCAATAGGCTCACCCCTATTACATGGGACTCATAACATAAATAGTGAAAAGTGGGTGTTATATTGTATAGTGGCATAATGTACACCTCTGCCTACCCCTTCGGTGATAAAAGGCGTGATGTTATGTTATGTTATAAAAAAAGTAAAGGACTAGCTGCTTCCGCGCGGTTTCACCCGCTCTGGTTGGCTCCTGTTAATCGTAGCGTGAATTTTTATATTCTTTAGCCTTCCTCGATAAATTGACTATCCAACACAAAAAAGGTAATTCCATTCGAACATGTAGTTCACGAGATAAGCGCGACCAAACAAACAAACTCCTCAGCTTTATATTATAAGAGTTCGTTATTATAAGTTATAGAGTTGTAAAGAATGAAATACCTAATATTAGGTAACTATCTAAGTTTCTAGTATAAATATTTCGAACGAGCCTTTCGATTCGATCCGATCGCGCCTTTTATTGTATAAATAGATAGAAATAAGCCCTATTGATCTTAGCACAATATTATGCATTTCAAAATCACAAAAGCAAGTATACATAACCATGAAAATCTTACCTTATTATATTCCAAATCCCAACATTTAACTTGTCTGTCTTCACCACAACTGAACAAGTAAGGATGTCTTGAAGATACTTCTAAGCCTAGAAAGAAAAAAAATACAATTCAATCTATACACCTATTGTAATAACAAACATAATTTAAACATAAATCAGAAAACACGCACAACAAATCATTGTTTTTATCCAAAATGGATAATTTCATATTTAATTTTTATCGTCATGTTAGGCATTTTTATCACGTTGTCGTCACTTAAATATTTCTCAGTTGGTGAACAAACCTCGGACGGTGCTGACGTGTCCAGTGAGCGATACCTTCAGCTTGCCACTCGCCAAGTCCCAGATCTTTATCACTCTGTCTGCAGCACCTGTATAATGAAGACAAATGAGTATTCGATTATTTCAAAAAATTATTTATAATCTCTATTTTTCCAACCCCAGCTGAGTTTGAATATATGACAATTCTTCCATACCTACTCAATCTTACCTGATGAATAAAATATCGGCCCTTGGTCCATAACTAAGATCCATACCAAATCATCAATATCAATAGAGCAAGAAATAGAAACAGTATTGTGACTTGAAAGTGGGACCTCATTATATCATATATTTGTTATTTTCTTGCATACATAAACATTGGAGCAGTTTTATGTGGAGCAGTGGATGGAAATGGGTAAATAATTACATTACAATAAAGTCCTTTACCTGTAGCAAACCACTCATTGCCAGGTTCAACAGCTACACACCGCACCCAACCCAAATGTCCAGATATGACACGGAACAACTTCCAAGGTGCATGCCACTTGGGTTTGGGCATTGCTGGAGGTTTCCGTGGCACTGCCAGAGCTCCTGATGGTGCGGCTGCCGTTGGTGTTGGCCCAGTGAAGGGTACGAGGGCTGCTTCTGATCCAAGTGCTGCCGTTTCTGCTAATTCTCCTAGAGGTAAATCATGTATGGTGTTACAGAGGGGTATTTTTGTCAGACAATGTTATCTACTGGCACTATTACGAAAGGAAAAGTAAATATACATATTTTGTGTTGATAACTTTAAACTGCAAGAAGCATCACAAATAATAAAAGAATTATTGCAATAAAAACTTGACTGCTTCGTTGGGCGACTGCCGGGCAACGGATCTTGGGTTAGATTCCCGGGTTGGGCAAAGAATTACTGGGTTTTTTAAAGTTCTCAGTAGTAGCACGGACTCTGGAATTGTGCCCGGTATATGGCAAAGGCTCACCCCCTATTACATGGGACTTATAACATGAACAGCGAAAAGTGGGTGTTAATTTTACATTGTACAGTGGTATAATGTGCACCTCTGCCTACCCGTTCTGGGAGAAAAGGCCTGTTATGTTTATGCAATAAAAATTGTTGCCTCTCAATACATAATAGCACCTATCAGACAAAATAGAATTAACAATTTTCATAATAAGCGTAACGATAAACGCAAAATTAAAAAAAAACCCTGTCTAATGGTTCAAATAATACACCTAGAAGTTAGCATGCTATAAAAATAAATACATGTATACCATGCAGTGACAGTGTGTCATCCTCGATGTCCTTAGCAAGACCTTGCGTGTTAGGAAGATAATAATTACATTTTATATGTTAGTAAGTTAGTATTTACTAGATGTTACACATAGATATGATACAAATACAATACTAAGGCATTAATTTAGTATTTTATTCTACTATCTCGCTAGTGGTACTCGATTTGTGTATTTTTGGTAATGAGTACCATTAGGAAATAGACTTAACCTAAAACAACTGTTGTAAGTAATTACATTCATATTGAGCTGAGTAATTGCTATTGGATCTCCTTCTTATAATGAAATAAATTGGATTTGCGTATAAAACATTACTAATTATGAATTATACAACACTAATTATGCCACTAATGTTACTGATTTTGAGATTTGAACTAAGTTTTGTTAGTATAGGAATATCATAGTTCAGCCCTTTTTTTTCTAAGAATAGCCTATCCCTTTATTTATTACTTTTGGCAATGATACAGTGGCTACTTCTTAAATCTGGTCAAAAATAACATTCTCCTTAACAACAACCAATACTACACAGAACTTACCATTATCACTAGTGATATCGGTCTGCATCCGTGTAATGTCTTGCTGTTTGACTGCCTGAGCAATCTGCACTGTGTCCATCACCTGACCATAACTGTCACGAGCTTTCACTCCTTTTAGTACTTTCTCCCTGTAAAAAATATTTAGAAGACACATTTAGCCAAGCCAACAGTTAAACATAGTAGTTGAATAGTACAGAATGAAATCAGAAAGTCAATTACAGATTTTGGAGGAAATGAGTTTTCTAACATACTTAAACGCATGTTACACATATTTGAGACCACTTAACTATGCTTCTAATTCAACTTGCGTATTGCTATAACATAATGACATGGATTTATAAGAACATAACCAAACAATCGGATTAAAATCAACACAGATTATGATGTTTTGTTAGCAACTGTTTCTGGTTACAAAACACATAAAGAATGAAAACATTATTGTAAGGTTGTGATCCTAACTTTGAACTTACGCTTTATCATCAATTGGCGGTAACAATCCTTGGTTAGATAAAAACATATCGTGGGATCGTTTCAATGATCTGAACACCAATGTGTGTACAGAGTGTTTTATCACTTCCTCCGACATTTTCCTTGTTTTTAGACTCTATCTCTTACAATAATGTTAATACTAAATAATTGTCACTAGTAAGTTGTAAGGAAAATTAAATTCTTGTCATATTTTGAAACAATCTTCTCCAGTAAACAACACACGCCAATTTACGCGATTCGCGATGAGCGTCACTTGTCAACGTCAAATTGTAAATGTCATGACAATGTCAATGTCAATATTTGGTTACGTTCGGAAATTGCCATTCAATAAGAAAAAGAAGTGCTGGGCGCAGAAGAAAATCGTGGCTGCGAAACATCCGGGAGTGGACCGGGGCATTACATCTGTCGAACAATTGTTCCGCATGGCTACCGACAAGGAGAAATACAAGAAGCTAACGGCCGACCTTCAACATTGAAGAGGCACTCTAAGAAGAAGAAGAAAAAGAGTTCTTTAAATAGTATTTGTTTGATAGCGCCAAGGTTTCTTTTAAATGATTTTAAAATATTATTGAATTCTCGCAAATCACATCTATCGCACTAGCAATCATTAGGTTAACGAGGCAGAAAAACCAAAGAAAGATTTTTAATTTATTACCGTAATGTAGAAAATGTCCCGTCGATAGATAAAGTAAAAGACTCTGGAAATAATAAATATTTTATTGACAAGTACAAAAATTCGTGATAAAATTAATATAAATGAAATAAAATATTCTAACAGACAGTATAGTTTTATCGATTACAGACATACAGTACAAGTGTCACAATGTGGTAAAATGACTAGAAATTGTGACCGTATATTAATAGACTAGCTTCATAGCATATACAATAGCACGTAGAATAAAATTAAATAAGTTTTTTATAAAACTATGTTATTTACACAAAGTGAGCTAGTTACTACCGAGTTACAATTACGTTAGCACACACTGACTCTATTAAAATTATGGACACTGATGCACTTCGTAAGCTTGGTTCTAAAACCTTTAGACCTACCTACTACTTACATTATTTTTGTATTTGTACTTCTTTCAATCAATTTTGAATTGCTAGACACACAAAGCATTTGCTATCTACTGCAAAGCTGTTTACTGCGAGTGCTTCTACTATTTTCTTTTACGTTTTATAAAATATTGTTGAAAGAAGTACAAGCAGTTACCAATAAGTAATCTATTTCTTACTATGTTCGTGAATTTCTCACTATATGCTTGTTATGCGGATAAGCGTTCTAAGTAAAAAGTCCAGAGCAAATTTTAAAACTTCAGTCCAGGTGCCAAACACTTGAACATACTGTGTCAGCAAAGAGTGGTCCTCAAACGAGACGATCAACATTCGAGTTCTCGATCGATTGCCAATCGTAATCGATATCGGTAGTATCGGCGACGGAAAAGACCGCGCCACTCTCGGTTCAGATGGCCGATTTCTCCGGATTATTCGCATCACTCACTCGGCGGGAGTGAGGGGCCCTCCGCAGGGTGCGTGGTTGCAGGTTGAGAGGAGGCAGGTTGGGTCGTTCGATCCTTGTTGGTGAGGAGACGAGAGGCCGGTTTCCACGGCGAAGGGTATCCATGCCATTCCGGAAGTATTCTTCAGTTCTATCACTGTAGCTCTCAATTAGTGGAGCAGGGTCTTCATATTCTACGTTGAAATGTCGTGGAATGGCGAGGTCTTCTGGTGGGCCGAGTTTGTATAGCGGGGGCTCTACACACTCGTAGTGATGGTCCTCGGTCTCGTCGTGTGGGTAGGTGTCGGCGACGAAGTGTCGCGTGCCTCTCGGTGTCAGCGCTGCCCATAGCACGCGCGAGTCAATGGCTGCTCCTCCGTATAATGCGTTGGAGCCTGATGCCTTACCAGTACCGCTCTTGCATCCTCCTCGTGCCCTGTCGAGAAAAAACCCATGAGATTTTTTCCAACTGTAAGCAAAATAAAAAGAACCATGAGGAAAAATTCATGAGGTCGTTATAATATTTCAAATTTTGAAGTAATATGAAGGAAAATTAAGTCAAAACGATCTGTAGGACACTTACTCTCTGCATTTGAGCAGGAACAACGCCAGTAGTGCAGCTATGCACAGCACAGCGATGCAGCAGGTGATCAGCACGAGGAACCAGGTGTCGTCGTTAGTCGCAGGCTCTGGAAGAATGATCAAGTTCTTAAAATGATGCTACTCCAAGCTGCATTCATCTGGTTCTTATTGGACCATCAGAATGTGGTTCTTTTACTGCACTGATGTAGTTGGTAGTGATTAAATACAAATAACTTGCGCTTTCTGGTTTAAATAAGCTGCTGCTGCTGCCTGACTTATTGAGAGGGTGGAGATTAGAGATTAGATATTCAATAGAAAGGGTTAAACCAAAATAAAACGGTCCATTAACATAGCTAAAAGAAAACAACATACGTATCTCACCATGTCTGGGTAGCTCATGGTACTCCACTCCAGGGAACAAGGAGTTCTCCTCGTTGTTCCTGTGAGGGGGACACTTGGAGGCCCTGCATGGTGGTGTGAGGTTGGCAGCACTGGCCAGGAAGGCGGGCAGTGGCGGCGGAGGCATGTGCAGGATGGAGTCCGGTGGGGGACCGAGGGACAGACATTCCGCCCCACAGGACATTCTGTAAAAGAAAAAATCATTATAAATATGACGATGGTAATCCAAGTCCATTATAGGTCTACCAGGATAAGTTTATTGTTAGAAAATATGTTATTAAATTAATACAGTGAAGGTGTATGAAAATATATGTAGGGTGGGATAATAAATATAGGAAGGTGCATGCTCGTATCATTTGTAAGCTAAGTATGTAAGAATCGCACTAGGTGGCGCTGTAGTTTCATCGTACTTCGTAGGAAAGCAGTGTAAATTTATCTGTATAGGTATGCAAGTAAATACAAATAATGACTGCACGGTTGGCGTGGGTGCCGCGCAACCGGCACGCCGGCGCCGGTTCGATTTCCGCACGGAGCAACTTTTTGTGTGATCCACAAATTATTGTTTCTGGTCTAGGTGTCATGTGTATGTGAAATTGTATGTTTGTAAACGCTCCCACGACACAGGAGGAAATTTCAGTGTGGGACAACGTTTTAAAAATATATGATTATAAAGCACGTATCATCACACCTGTAGTAGGTACATTGGGATAGGTATTGATGTGGGAATGTACCACAGGTGCTTTCATCAACTCTTCAAAGACTTACTAATAAGTTGTGTTATTAAATTGACTGTTTTTTTTAAGGGTGAAAAATCAACGAATGACTGCTCCCGCCTGGGCGAGGCAGGAGGGAGTGTCAGACTCTTACTGAACCACCCCGTTCTTTCTCCTGCACTTCGAGCCGGAGCCCCGGTAACCCGTTAGGTTCTCCGCGACAATTTGACTGGTTTAACGATAATATTTAGTGTGACTGATGTGGCGTTTAGGCATGGTTAGAAACATTGTTTGTTTTCACGTATTTTTCTCAACTATTTGGATATTTTTAATTAATTCATGATCATACATTATTAGGTACAGTCCGAAATTACATATACATTACCTAAATCTGTTTTGTTAGGACTGCGTATATGTAATTTATTTATTTTTTACATATAAATTACAGGGAAACATGTTTTAGTAAATATTTTCGTTCATAAAAATCTCAAATATTTCTATAATAAGTATTCCAAGAATAACAATAAAGATTTTTCATAATAGGTACCCTTTTACTACCATCAATTACATATAAACCTAGCATTTACACAAACAGCACTAAAAGCAAGCTCAATAACTGATTATTTCGCACACACAATAAGAACTCGAAGAACTCAATCAAATTCCTTTGAATATAAACAAAACTTGATGTATATCATACATAAATCACAACAATACAATACAAACTCACTTTTTAATATTATTTATAGATATTTTACACAAAACAGATGCACTTTACACCGTTCTCCGATTACACTTGCTAAAATTTGGTCCATCGGATGCAGAGCGCAGGCGCGAATCTCTACCATGACATTTACAAACCAACAAATAATAAAAACTTTTTCGCTCAACACCGTTCCATTGCTGGCTCAACGAACATAGTCGTCTATACTCGTGATATAAAAGTGTCAATGTATGCTGAACGAATAATTTCAAACACCATTTGACATTTACAAGTAGTACCCTAATATAGGGTATATTATTGATTCACGCAAGCGCGGGAAGGGATTGTCGACCCTTGAATAGGGGTGGTAAATAAAAGCTTTGAAACGAAATACGAAGCATGCTGTTGTCTCTTTTTATCGTACACAATTCTACGTTAAATGAAAGAGAAGTGATTATATTGGTATTTTGATTTTAGAAAATTCGCAAATGATGCGGTGTGTGACTTAATTACGTGAATTGAAAACACAATATTCGTATTATTATATTAATTTTAAACGTTAGGGTTAGCTTGGGTGTTCTAATTCGTTTTCTATGCTATTTTATTTATTGAATTGTTGGAAGGAAGGAACTTAATTGCTAAATAATATGATTAGATACCTACTCAATCATTACAGTACCTACTCACTAGGTATTTAAAGAAAAAAGTAATTAAACCCGCCACGGACTAGGTATAACTACAGGTAAGTATGACCTACGTAGTTTTAATAATAAACCGTGAAATTATGTAGAATTTTGAAGCTACGAATCAAACATGAAATCTCTTACTAGGCAGACATGCTTGCAACCACTCGGCTTAAGAGGTAGTGACGTCAATGTAAGTATAGTTTCCATACCTACTTACATTCAATGCAGCTAGCGGTAGGACATGGTTTTCATTGTACACTTTATACAAACGTCACACAGTAGAAAAGTGCATAAAATATTGATTTTCTGTCTGTTTCAAATTGTGGTTATATACCTCTAGGATTCTGTCCTCTTCTTTCCTGTGTCCTGGGAGCGTTTACCATCTGGACCAAAACAACAATTTATTGATCACATAAAGATATATTCTGTGTGGGAATCGAACTCAGGATGCGCCAACTGAGCAGGTTTATATATTATAATAATTAAGTTATCTCTGAGATAAAATCTTGTCGTACTTTATTTTCAGACTAGCGACCCGCCCCGGCTTCGCACGAGTGCAATATGCAAGTATTATATGTACTACATATAAACCTTCCTTAAAAATAACTCTTTATCTATTATCAAAATCCGTTGCGTAGTTTTAAAGATTTAAGCATACATAGGGACAGACAGAGGCGGATAGCTACTTTGTTTTATACTATGTAGTGCCTATGTAGTGATTAGGAATATTTGTAGCAATTGGGATTTTTTTAATTATGGCTAAGCAAGGTATTAATAATACGGTTATTAAAATTATAGGGGTAAACTAGCCCTTAGTGAGACGTCAAAGAGTTAAGTCAAACGCAAATGCCACTCAGAGACTTTCAGAGATCTTCAATCGCCCTTAAATACCTCTTACCGATACCCATAAAATTCCACAAGTGCTCGTTACACGTGGCTCTGAGTAGCTGAAGTGTTATTTGCTTCACCAAATGAAGGCCAAGCTGTGAATCGAGTAAAAAAGGTTTTAATTAGAGTATGGGCAATTAACGGCAGCTCGTGTGCTTGCACGCTTTCATCCTGGTGGAATAATGCATGTTATTAAGTTGAATATCGAAGGTGATGTGGTAGAAAGTAACTTTATTAATGTTGATTTGATTTTTGCACCTGGTTTTTTATCTGTAGTAGCATGTATGTCACTCACGTGTAGACACACCCTCTATTTATTTTTCCTTTATTACTTATTTCATTAAAACTATTTTTAGGGTCCCGTAACGTAACGTTATTTAATGCTAACTGTTCTTTCTACGAGCTCCGGCCACCGTAAGTGCAGGCCTGCGGACGGCGAACAAGGGCAGTTCACCGCCGGATCAGAACCAGACCCGAGCATACGGTGCGTCGCGCTTCAAAGAGCCAGTAAGGGCCCCATCTGTGGTAATCTGATGGCTCTGCTAGGCCGATTCGGAGCCGCGGAGGGCGGAGCTTTAACGGGTTGCCGGCGTTTAAAGTCAGGTTTAAAGTAAAAATATTTTTTAATTACAACCGTGACCCGCTATGTAGTAATCAAATTACCGTTTGTTATTTGCTCCCAGTAGTTGAGGAAGTTCACTAAAATGCGGACTAATTACATTAGTGAAGCTCTTTGCTTTGTCTGTGGGATTAATTCAATTATGCTGTGCGTGGACCAAAAAGAACTAGGTAGAAAGATGAAATAATATTTCCTGTAATATTTTTGTTAGGTTACGAATGTGTATTGTGTTTATTTTGGTGTGTTCTGGCAACTGTCATATGGCAATGTAATGTCGTTTTTTCCGTATTTTTGATGGTGATTGACGTTAATTAACTGCCTCGTTGGATGAGTGGTTGCTACTACAATTGTCGAGGATCGAGAGTCTCGGAGTTATTTGGAGAATCTAGGGATTTGTAGGTTTTTTTTGTTGTTTTAAACGTTGCCCCATACTAGGATTATGTCGCGGAGAACCTAACGGGTTACCTGAGCTCCGGCTCGACGTGCAGGAGAAGGAACGGAGTGGTTTTTAGTCAGTAAGAGTCTGACACTCCCTCCCGCCTCATCTAGGCGGGAGCAGTCATCATCATCATCAGCCTGTATTCGTCCACTGCTGGACTTAGGCCTCTCCTATGGCACGCCACTGAGCTCGATCTTCAGCTCTTCTCATCCAACCACTGCCAGCCACCTTGCAGATGTCGTCACTCCACCTAGCTGGAGGGCGCCCTACACTGCGTTTGCTTAGACGCGGTCTCCACTCTAGAACACGTTTACCCCAACGGTTATCGGTTCTTCGACAAATGTGACCGGCCCACTGCCACTTCAGCTTACTGATCCTTTGGGCTATGTCGATAATAAAAATACTAGGATTATCTCTTATGTCGAGGGTGCGTTTACAAACAAGACACTCAGACTCAAACAACAATTTGTGGATCACACAAAGAATTGTTCCGTGCGGGAATCGTACCCGCTACACGTTCCACGGCAGTTAGTTGTCCAGCCATCGCGCTAACTGTGTAGTCAGTTTTCCCTCTCAGTCTAGAACTAGAATTGTGTCTTGAACAGAGGCTAGAATTGTGTCTATTGAATTTTGATAGGTTTATCTCGTATTGGATAGACCTCACAACTTATGAGGTCGCAAGCCCAAGGAATAAAATTAATGAATATTCTCCTACCATTTAACATTACAAGAGGTTTGATCTAGCAACCGTTCAACCGGTTTACTACCAATAACACTACAAAATACACACATTAACTTTAGTCTTTGTTCTCGACACACAGAGTCAAAAGGGTCCATACTAAGCTTATAACAAGAATAAATAAAGGTCTGAAACTTTTCGTCACAAAGGGACTTTCTTGTTTTTACTGGCAGAGCCCCTTTGTTATGAAACAAGGTTAGCCATACAAAAACATGAAGAAATAACGTAAAAAGTATCCCACGGTTTACTTAAAATATGTGAGCATTGAATAACAACAGTTGTAAAAACAATCAGAACGTATTTTTCTAAAAGAAAACTTACATAAAAACAAATACGTATTTCCTTAATTTTCTTTTATTCATCAATGTACCTGTTTAATAAATTGAAAATGTTACAGTTCGTAAGATAACAGCATCACTAACAATTAAACTTTTATAGGAATAACAGCGCACTACCGGTGTCATATAAATTGTCTAAAATGAAAACAAACATCAGTTTCCGCTTCTCTATGACGTCAACAAGATGGCGGTGGTTCCATTGATAACCGGCTCGTCGCGCGTCACATCCGCCGCGCAGTGCGCATGCCCGCAGTTATACAACCATTGATAGAGAGTGAAGCACTTTGGAGCTTGCGGAAAGCTTTCGATACGATTCTACATACGATCTTCTATTAACATTAAAAATGAATTAGCTTCAGGTAAATAATAATTTTTGAAGTAATCTGTGGATACAGGTTGAGAAATTCTCGACACGATTTAAGCTAGTAAATTCCTTGCATCTTTTGAAATTGAAGTAATCTAAAATTGTTTACTAACTTTAACAGTTTTTTATTTTTCAGTTGTTGTTACAAAACAAGCAGTACCTTTTATATAATGAATAATCTACATAAACTAAATTAAATGGAGAGTCATACCAAACAATCATACACAATTAGAAATACATTGGCTTACGTACTTTAGTTTTGAATAATATTTTTTTTTGTATTTTGTAACCGACTGAAATCGTGTCGTTGACGTCACATATAAAAATCAGTTTTCACAGTGCGAAGGCAGCTTCTTTTGGATGGCATGAAATGTAGGCTGTATAGCGTATACGGCTCGTATCAGATGCCGCCCTAGCCTCCGACCGAACGGACGAGCGCTCGCAACAGAAGCCCGCGAACTTCAATTCAAATTTCGTATATCGAACGCCGTTTTTTTTAAACTATTTGTTTTTTCTTTTATTTTTTTATTGTATGGCAGTTTAATGACGGTTTAGAAAGGACTGTTTAAATACTTTTTGGTGAATTTTGAAGATTATTTACGGAGATATAGGTAAGTTTAATTAGTAATATAGTAAACTTTATGTATAAGTTTAAATATGTATGTATATGCACAGAGATGTTACGATTTGATTATTCCCGGCGCTTTAAAATTATACAAATCTTTAATTAAATAAACGGAATTGCCCTCACCAAAAAGAAAATATGCTAAACCTGTTGAAAATATGTTAATCTGTAAAATTGTTTTGGGATTATTGTAATTTATTTAAACACTTTCCTAACAAAATACCGAAAATATTGAATAAAACGTATGACCATTATTTACGACCATTACACATAATAAAATATAACTTTTCGGAGTCACTTTGTACAGAAATTTCATGGTCTACGGCGCGTAGCAAATTAGCTACGCTTTCGGTGCTACGCGCTACGAAACACGCGTAGCTTTACTACGCTTATATTTAACACAACTTTT